GAGCGTGACGCATCTGTGTCATGCACGCCCGCTCATGTGACGACCAGCAGGCGGGAAAACTATCCCAGTCCGTTCGTTCACCAACCAGCTGAGCTGAGCTCTCAACCATCGAGCGGGTTTTGTTTCGCCGCCGTCAGCCGGTGCTGCTCGTGTCATGACGGGTCTGTCGCTCGCTCTCCCGTCGTCCGCTCTCCCGTCGCTCGCCGCGGTGGGCGCTCGGCCCCTCCCCTCCCCTCCCCGGTGGACCGGTGCCCCTCCCCACCCGCCCACAGCGCCGCTCTGCTCTGGAGCCGCCGGCCTCGCCAGACATTGGGAGGCCGACGATGATGTCATGGCTCGATTGGCGGAAGGGGAGGGGAAGGGGGTGCGTGACCATTGGGCGGGAGGGAGGGAGGGAGGGGTAGCAGGGGAGTGAATCTGTCCGGAGGTTTGAATTGGCTACGTGTGTCGGTTTTGTTTGTGTCTTGTAGATGTGCATTGTGTATCGCTAGGATGGTCGGCTATCAAGTTCACAGTTCTCAAAACGTGGGCTTCCAGAATGCCAAAACGCCTCAGCAGCCGAAGCTAACCTCCTACCAATGCTGAATTTTCTGATAGCGTCCATTCGTCTGTTGGTCCGATTTCTTCGCAACCATTTTGTTTTTTATGATCGATTCGATAGATCGTGGAGTTTTTCCTCCGCGTGGGAAGATATGGTTATCAACTTATCAATCATCGGCTTTTCTAGCCTAATTCTGATGACCGCAAATAATTGTTTGCCCGTTGTTCGACTAGGGAGACGCCCAGCAGTTCTTTGAACAGCCTGCTGCGGTCAGCAACTCCGCCTTAAGCCAGCTCTGTCCCTGTTCCCAGCCGAGCTGCGCTTCCAGGCACGGGTATCTGAGCTTTAAATCACCAAGCTTCGTCTCCTTCTGACCAGCATCCCATTCCGCTGCATTGCGCACCTGTTTGCCTTTGGAACTCCCTCGTTTTCCTCGACTCTGCGTACGTGTAAAAATCCTAGCCCTCTGAGCCACGAGAAGCAAGCAGGGGCGCGGAGAGCAGCCCCGGCGACTGCCCCGTATCTGCTCCTCAGAAGCCGACGGTCAATCAGGCTCGATTGGTGTGGCCTCGTCTCTAGCCAGCTCGCCCATCGTGCGTAATGATAGCGCCCGCTTCCAAAGTGGGGCGATAAGTGAGGCGTTGCAGGAGGCAGGGATGCGTTAGGCTGTGCGCGGCAGTTGAACACGTCACGTGATTAAATGTTTACGGGTGCAGCAGTACTGTGATTGAACCTAGCGATGAATGTAATGAGAGTATTGATGTCTAACATTTATATAGCTCTCTCACTTGAAGGACGCTGAGTGTAGAAAGACGGACAGCTTGATGACCTGACCCAACGACCCAACCAATCGAATCGAAGTGGCAGTGTGGCTGCTGTGGCAGGGCTTTGATGGGTGCTTCGTTATATACGGTCGATCATTTCAGGCCAGTTTTTAGCGAAACATCCATCAAACTGCATATAACTCCGTGTTTTGGACTTTCTCGTTGCGGTTTAGTATCCAAACAACGAATGTTTTACGAAGCTAGCCCTGATTTCCTCCATAAAGTCTGTTTATTTAGGACATACGCCATATCGCTACCGCCCTCTTTTTCATTTCAATCGAGACATCGATACCCGTAGACGGATCCACATCGCACTAGGGAGTTTAAGAATGAAAGCTGCGCGCCGCCGGTGACGTAACGTCCATTGCTACGTGATCGGTTTGGCCTTGGCTGTATTGATTTCCTCGGGAGGCCCGGCCATTTTCCGGCAAAACTCGGCCGGAATGCTTTCCACAGGGTGCCGCGTGCTGAGTGGCCCGCCCCTGCCGACACTGGGAAACCAGACGGGGAGGGAAGACACGTAAAAAATGTGCAGGGACGGGTTCTCACCCGCGCTGCACTGTCGCTGTGATGAAAGAGGCGTGCAGTGGTTTGTAGCGGCTCGTGCACGCCGGAGAGAGGCGACGATGGTGTCATCGTCTGACCGTCTGACCAGGGGTCCGTGCAATAACAATAACCAGGCGAGTGAGATAATAAACGGGTTTTATACGCACATATTGCCTTCCCATGAGTACAGCACGTGTGGTTACGATTCTTAGCCTCTGAAATCACATAAGACGGAGACGAAAGACCGACAACTAACATCCCAAACACGCATGGTTTCCATTGAACAGCAGGCAGATATTTGGTCGACTGCTCCGACCAGTATCCACTATCCACCACCACAGTTCATGCTGATAAATAATATGGTGTTTATGCTAATCCCGACCCACTTCGTAGCCGACCTCGCTGCTGCTGCCTTGCTGCCGGCAAAGATACTTGTTGCATACTCATTGCATGCTGGTCGCTGTCGGTATGAACGCCAAACGAGCGATGCTCAAGGCCTGCCCGCCATGCGCGAGCCATGTCTGGTATGTGATACAGGTGTCAGAATGTGGAATTTACCAATGAAGCAGCATTTGTATTGAGATTTGCTAGCTTGGGGCAGCCTACTTTTTGGACTAATCCGGAAGTTACTTTTTTGGTGATTATCATGAATATTGAATATACCTACATGATAACGGAGGGCGACCTTTTATGTTGTTGATATGGCGACATTTTTATATAAAAAAATGATGCATATACACGTTTGGAAAGCTTAAATATCGAGTCGTTGTAGCACGTTTGGCATTTATCCTAAAAGGGACAGCCCGGTTATGCTGTGACGGTCCGGCGGCTCGCGCCTCTCGTCCCGCCCTGCGTGCCGGTTGTGAGTCATTCGGGGCGGCCCGTGTCACGCGTGGTGTGTGTATCATCAGCCGTGGCCCTCCCCATCCGTATCCGCCTAGGTCGGACAGGGCGGGTGAAATCTGGCGTGCGTGGACACGAGAGCAATGATGTCACAGGTGAATGTCGCAGCTTCAGACATGAGCTTACGATTTGTGTTGTAGACCCTACGTAACTGCTTGAACTACCTAGCCGACTTGTATTCGATTGCGAAACAGGACAAGATTCACTGATTCCCATAACGCTCTATTCCAACCACCAACTCATGCAGTGCTGCCTGCATGAGAACTTGATTCACCAGTCACTCGTGGGAGCTCCGAACTGGGCGATGATCATTTCCCTGTTTCCGTCACTCGAGTTTGCACCGATGTCAGTCGACTCGGCGGGCCTATCGACCACATTTTCCCTGCTGAATCAGCGACAAATGCGCTACGCCGACCGCCGAGCACAGCTTGCAGAGCGGCGTGTACCAACAGTGTTTTGTGTCTGCTGATTGCCCGCCGAGTTTTAACTGGGTCAGCGCCGTTTGCGCTCGCCGTCTCTGTTCAGTTTCCAAGCGCGCACGACTGGTCACGCTAGGCCGACGGTCGGGAGTGGTGTTTGATTGGATACCTAATGACGTGCTCTGCTGCACACGGCACCGATTATTGGACGCAGCGTCTGGGCTCACGGATACTCCTGGAATAGATCCGGGGACGTCTGAGACTGTCTGCTCGGTGCGATCGTCGGGGTAGCAACGCTGCGCACCACGGGGAGGCACGATCGTTGCCCGTGGGCGGCTACTGAGGAGAACGCACAGCTGTGCGCAGTGCGCATGTTTACGTAAAGAAATATTATTAGCGAATTGAATAGCTCGCTGTGTGGTGTATGCTACTGATAAAAGAGCACGGATGGAAGCTAGAAACACCACAATTTGTCCTATCCACAGACCACAATACTGATGCCTACTGGTACACATTCGATCGTTTTTGCACTATCCAGCTCGCCTTGCATTTCAGCATACAGCGCTCCGTCATTTGAGTGTTGTTAAGCCCTTCCGGGCGTACGGTTTAGCAGCACGCGACTGCCCCTTCCGCCGGCGCCGGGTCATTGTGGTCTGGACGGGGCGTGGTCGGATGGTCGGCAGGGCTCGACAGAGCGGGCCGACGCGGGGGCAGCGCGGGCCGACCCTCTGTGCTGTGCCGTGCCGTGCTGTGCCTTTCCGTGCCGTGCCGCGCCGTGCTGCCGGCCGACAGTGTTGCGCCCTTAGCTAGAGGGCGGGGTGAGTTGGACTGGGGTGAACCCCGAGACCCCTGAGTTGTGCAGGGGTGACCGGCATGTTTCCGAGTAAGTCGCTTTCCGGGGGACGTAAGGCTTGCTCTATGAAGACCGCGCGGTCGACGACGACAATCGACCGACGTCTGGCCCGCAATCGACCGTCCGAGCGGCGCGGTCGGGGCGTCGGCCGGCCGCGGACAACCGGTGACGTGTCCACCCGACCCGCCCTCGGCCCCCGGTGTCCACTTGTTGGTAAAAGTCGGCCGCTGACCGGCTGGGTCCGCCCACAGGGAGCTGAGGGGCATTCGCGTGATTTGGAGCCGACCGTCTGCTATCCATGGTCCTTCATAGAAGCGGTCGTCATTCACATAGACCCACGGTGTCCACATAGAATCGCTGCACAGTTCTTTTGATTGTTGAATCGATTCGTACTTACAATTGTGGAACCGACCGCCACCCATCCACATAACTAGTGTGGAGCCGCTCCCCATCCGTCCACTGGCTCACGAGGTCTGCCTTGCTCGGTAGCTCAGTTGCCTGTGCTCTGGCCGGCTCGTGGCAGAACGCTACTACCTCTTGTCCTGAGTCATGAATGGGTCCTGAGCTTCGATGGATGGGTGTTTATCCTGCTTTGTTTGGTTTCTTTTTGTTGCTGAATCGTTTGATTAACTGATTTCTGGCCGATTCTCTTCAGTTTTATCACTCGCATCTCTTGGTTCAGAGTTCAGACATCATTCTCAGTTTTATCCTCGCTTCACTGGCTTCTTTTATGGTAGATTTTCCTTGTTAGTTTGTATCGCCCTGCTTATATTTTCCATAGCTGTCTCTTGTTAGCTCATGTAAGCCCCTTGATCTTGCTTGTCTTTCTTTCACGTATGCTGTTCCCATCTGCCCACCCATGTTTCGTCCCTCCCTATTCGCCCTATCTAAGTCCTGTCTATCTCCTGTTTCAGGACGCCCTTCTGGAGCAGGAGCAGCGGCAGTTCGATCAGGCTAGTCTGGACTACGTGTGTCTCCTTCAGGAAGTGCAACAGCGCAAAAAGTTCGAGTTTGTCGAGACGGTGGGTGTCAAGGCTACCGGTTTCGCTAAACACGTCGCCACCTTTTGCCGTGTCATGTCTATTTGTGGAGACTCGCCGGGGTTTTACTTGTTCCAATTATGTCAGACTGGCAGGTCCAGCTGTGTTTGGTATAACGGTAACATACTGGACACTGGTTGTGAAATGGCTCACAAGTCACGACCCTACCTTTTGCTTGTTCCATAACGACTTTTTATTGTCGCTTGTCTTTACTATTACAGTGATGGTTGTTACTTGTTTTTGCTTTTTTGCCGCAGATCTGTCACTCACGGAATTTAGTTTTTGAGGAATCGAGGCGTGCTCATGATCCTATTCAGGCGATTGTTTGCGTTTTATTCTATAAACAGCACCGTTTACTCTGCGTTGTCAAAAGTTGCTGACTGTCCTCTTCTGTCGGCAGCTGCTGAGTTTTATGTATGGATGGCTGACGTTTTATCACCAAGGACATGAGCTGGCCAAGGACTCTGAGCGCTCTATGACCGATCTGCAGGCGCGACTTCAGAAGGTAGGTGCTCGCTCACTGAAGGGGGTAGCATGTCTTCGCTGTTTGCTTTTGTTATGCATATAAATGGCAGGGGCCGAGCTTAAAATGTAAAAATTGCGTCATCCGTATTGTTTGTGGTACGTTAGAGAAAATTGTTTGTTTGTTTGTTTTGTTGGGTTAGGCCCTTTCGGTCTGACAAGACCATTGCAGAGCCGGAAGGATGATAGGAATTAGGGGGAGACATTGGTCTGGGCAGGCACCCTAGTGAGTCGCCGGGGCTGAGCCCGTCCAGAGGACAGGCCACCCAGCCCCAAGGCACTCACTGCACCCGGCTACGGGGTGCGCTCCCTCAGGAGCAGCGGTGCCGCTCCAAGGGAGCAGCCTGCATGAGATAAAGTTGCCTGTCCAGCCCGGAGGGGGGTTGCGGCGTGGAGGAGAAGGATTTCAGTATCCTGAGGATAGAAGCACGGAACGGTTAGAGAAAATAAACGTTAGCGCCATCTGTTTAACTCCGATTCGGAATATGCCCCTCCCCTCCCCTTCTCCTCGACACACCCAGTGGCCTCTCTCATGCCACCACCTCGTGTGCGCACGACCGATATGATCGTTCCCCGTCGTGTGTGGTCAGACCAGAGACGAGCTCACGCGTCTGGCCAATGTGACCATTCCGGTCAGATGTGTCTGACCAATATCGTTCCTCGTGTCGTGTTTGGCCAAACCAAAGACGAGTTTGTGCTCCTGGCCGATGTGACCGTTCCCTGTCTTATGTGCGTCTGACCAATGACCGTTCCCGTTGTTTGCGTCTGACCAATGACCATCCCCGTCTCGTGTCTGGTCTGACTAGTGTGACTGTTCCCCATCTTGCGTTCGTCTTACCAATGACCATCCCCCGTCCCTCGTGTTTGGCCAGACCAGAGACGAGTTTGTCGCCACGCGTACGGAGGTCGAGTCTCTGAAGAACCGTACTCTGGAGGTGCGACAAACGGTGAGTTGAAAACTCGAGTGAAAAACTCGGAGTGAAAAACTCGTGGGCAGAGAATTATACATAATGCATATTCGTGGGGCAGCTAAGAGGTCCTTATTAGTGATTAGCCTGAAACACTTTCGGTCCTTGGGGCTGTCGAGAGCTTGTGATAAGCCTGAAGTACCCTCGAGCTACCCAGGAAGGATTGGAATCTGAGACATGTTTCTAATTATTGTTTGGGTTATGTCGCTACTACGTTGATTGCATTCTCTGTTGGTAGTGCAGACAATGTGCTGAGTTTCGTGTTCTGTAGCCATGTTTTCCAAACAGGCCGGACTGACCTACCTTGTTTTTCGTCTCGATTTGCAAAGTCTATCGATGTGGGGTTGACCTACCAAATTGTGGGACTGACCTACCAATGTGGGACTGGCCTGCCAGTGTGAGACTGACCTACCTTGTTCAACGTGTCGATTTGCAGAAGTCTCTCGATGTGGGCAGTATGGACAAGATGTACACCAGACAGGGCTACCTGCACCTCTTGGAGAAAAGTCAGTACATGATGTCGGCGCCGTACCGTTTGGTCATTTTTCTTTCCAAAGCTAAACAACGCTTTCATTGTGTGTTTTAGTTATTCCCGACGATGCGAAGCTATGTGGTGTCATCTACTAACTACGAGTAGCGCCAAATGTTTGATAATAGGCCAGCAGGGCGCTGTTGCGTTGGCTTGTAGCGTAAAGTTGGGCGGATATTGATTCATGTATCGGTTTACCTCGATCCATTTATTTTTAGGACATTCCAGTCAAGTTTGACTATGCCACTCCCACATTTGACGACATATTGCATCTTATTTCCTACAGAGGCGTTCGGTACAACGTGGACGAAGCACTACTGCATGTACGATAAGAAGTCGAGGAACTTTACTCTGATCCCGTACAATCAGATCACGGGCAAACTGGTGAGCCATGGCGCGCGGCTGATAGCGTCACGGGTCTCTGTCTGATTGTAATTATCATTCTTACCGATTCAGTTAGATATAATCGATATCATATATCTGCTACCTGCAGATAGACTTGCCTATTTGAAATGCTTGTGTATCTTACTGTTATCTTAGCAGCGTTCACAATGCACGTGTTCGTGTCATGTGTGTATACCATCATTCATATTTTGTCTTTCGGCGTAGCTGAATATCTGGTAAGCATTCCCATGTAACACCTGTTAAACATTTGTTACACGTGTATCGTAATGCTTGCAATGCTTGTAACATTACACCTTAGCACATGAACATAACTCCTGAGCACACTTCTCCAACCATCCCTCCCCTCCGCCCGTGCAGACGTCGACGGACCAGATGAAGCTGAAGTCGTGTGTGCGGAGGATGTCCGACACGATCGACCGGCGGTTCTGCTTTGACGTCACTGCCGAGGAGCGGGACGGACAGGTGTACACGCTGCAGGCGCTGTCAGAGGACGACCGGAGACTCTGGATGGACGCCATGGACGGAAAGGAGCCGGTGAGAGACACGGTGACCGTGTGTAGCTAGACACGGCGACTGTATGTAGCTAGACACGGCGACCGTGTGTAGCTAGACACGACGACCGTGTGTAGCTGTTGGGCGGTTCCGTGTGTTAGATCTCTCAGCTCGCTAAAATTCCTTTGTTCAGGCTCAATACTGATCCCAAGGCATGTATTACTGTTAACTCTCGATTGCTATCTCTTGACTCCTGGCTTTATACAATTCAGTTCAACTGATATGATATTGTATGCGATGGTTCAGTACTTATTGCATCTGCACTTAAGGGCACTCAAATACTATGACCATAATTGCTGATAGTACCACTTGTTTTAACCATTGTTTGTACGGTGCACGTACTCCAGGACTTAATCAACGTAATATCATATTCATCCAATCATTTATAAATTTGTAATTACTCGGTGTTTTCGCCTCTAAGAACGATGCTACACCACACAAAATTATCCCTAGGACTTCCCCATTCCCAAATTTACGGCTGACTCTCCTTTCTCCGCCGTTTCCCAGACATACGCTCGGTTCGAGCACCTGGAGCGGCGGACAGACCACACCAGTCTGGACAGCAGCGGTCTGTTCTTCGTGAGCAGGTGTCTGGCGCAGCTGGAGGACAGGGGACTGCAGGATCAGGGCCTCTACCGTGTCGTCGGCGTCAGCTCCAAGGTAAGTTCGAAACTCGAAGGGTTTGAAGGGAGAGATGGTGTTGGCTCTGCTAGGTGTCGCAAGATGGCAGAACGAAATTTTGTTCGTAATAGTCAGTTGTTTTGTGTTGCATGTTTCGCAGTTTGGTTATATCGATGTCATTATCCATTAACTGTGCCCCTAATGATTCCACCAGCAATAGTCATTTATCTTACCAAAGATATACTGGCTCCTGGGTCTATATTCGTTATCTATATCAGGTTCGGTCAGTTAGCATCATAGCTGCATGCATCTTAGTTGAAAGCATGTAACCTAGAGTTATTAAGATTGGCTGTAACATACGCGCAGACGTAACTTTAGTGGTGGTATTTGTTATGGTGTCCGAGACACATGTGATCATTGCTCGTGTAGGCGGATCTCTCAGCAAATGATAGCCACCCGATGGCAGCAAGTCTGCTTTGTTCCATGACAACCTTTTTTTGTTCCCCCAGGTCAACCGGTTGGTGCAGCTGGGTCTGAGTCGGACCAAGTTTGAACAGGTCGACCTGGCGAGTCCCCAGGAATGGGAGAACAAGACGCTCACCAGCGCCGTCAAAACGTACCTGCGAAACCTGCCCGAGCCTCTGATGACGTTCCGGCTACACTCAGAGTTCATGAACGCAGCTAGTGAGTCACGGGGATGGGATTTGCAGTTCATGGGGTGACAGTCGACAATAATTTGCAATCGATGAGGATATTATGTGTGCAGCACAAGGGTGTCCTGTGAAGCGATTTATCTAGCGATATGAGATTGATATCTAAACTTTCGTTCTGCTGGTATTGTGCATGAACTAATAAGGAAAAAAGAGAATTTAAGGTTACATAACAGGCTGTTTGGTGTATGTTGTGGACTGCGGCATCTTCCTTTTTCCAATTTATAGCGACCCTTTTTTTGTTGCAGAGACGGACAAGAAGGAAGTAAGGGTAGCTAAGGTACTCAGTCTAGTCAGTAAATTACCGAAACTCAACTACCAGCTACTGAAACTTCTGATACACCATCTGCAAAAGTAAGTGCTGGCTTCTTCTGGCTACTGACTGCAGTTATTTGTGTTTTGCTGCCAGCTCGCTGGCGCATCCAAGCTTCTGCCCGTGGTCTCGAATAGTTTTAAACATGTCGCACATAAGACTGAGTCGCACATAAGATCGACAGTTATGACAATTAAATATTCCATAGGGACAGCTTTACTGCACCATGAGTGAACGGTTCGTATTACACAAAGCAGAAGCAGAACAAACAATTATAGTTATCCAGATTCACACAACCTTCCTCATACCTACAACCGTTCACAGAGTGAGCAACAAGAGTGAGCGGAACCTGATGTCGATCAGCAACCTGGCGGTGTGTTTCGGTCCGACGCTGCTGCGGCCGGAGGAGGACACCATGGCCGCCATCATCGACATCAAGTTCTGCAACACCGTTGTGGAGACGCTCATCAGAAACTATGATGCGGTAAGAGCTATTGCCAGAGCGCTGGGGCTTGGCTTGTTTTATGTCCGTTGGGTGGGTTGATGCTGCGTATTGCCTTAGCTTGGGATGCAATATTTACAGTTTGAAATTCGAATATTATTCGGGAATGCAGCGACGTATGCTATTGGGGCTGTGTTGTCTAGTAGTCCTCGCTCTTTTCAGGTATTCAGCGTTGCAGTCTTGCATTCGTTGATTGTCGAGGGATTGACAGTTGTCCAGTGTCCATTATTGTTTATGTCCAACCACGCAGCTGTCTAGGTGACATGTTTTTCCAGTCAGCTATGAAGCACCAAACTCCGCTTGTATCCCTTCACTTCCCTCCATCCCTTCCAACCGCTCTTGTGACGTCCGGGTGTCCCGCTAGATATTCTGCGGCGGCGCGGTGGAGGGCGAACAGGAGCCCAACGGCCGCTCGGTGTCCAACGGACCGGCGCCGGCGGCCAGGGAACCGCCCGCCAAGCCGGTCCTCTCAGCCTCCGCTCGGGTCAGTGTGACGTCATGGGTTAGTGTGACGTCACGGGTCAGGGTGCTGTCACGGGCGGGCCTAACATCGTAGGCTGAGCTGAGACTGCCCAGGGTGGGCGTGACGCGGTTAAAGTTTGTGTGGGCTTCTAAGAACGGATGGTGTCTGATTAGCTTTGACATTTTGCTGAGCTTTGCGAAGTGTTGGCGTTAGCTTTTCTAAGATGTGATTGAACTGCATGCTTGTCGAAGTGATTTTTGTTGCTAGTGTTACTCACGGAGTTCCGGTAAATGCACCATAAACAGTTTTATGTTATACATAAACAGCTTCAATTCAAATAGGGTGCTTGATTCATGAAATCGCTTTGATCTTTTCCGTCTGACAAGCCCCCTGTCATTGATAAAAAACACCACAATATATGTATGCCAACAACCATGACTGAGTATCATCCATATCATAGATAAAATGAATCATGCTCTCTATGTCCATTCTAACCGCCCCTCCCTCCATCAGCTGGAGCCGCGCTCAGTGCCGCCGGCGCTGGAGCACGCGGCCCGACCGTCCACCCCGGAGCTGGGCAGGGCCGGCCTGGAGCGTGCTCTGGCCCGCTCGGCGGCCTCCCACCAGCCGCCGGCGGGCGCGCGGCGCGTGGCGAGGTCCTCCTCTCCTGAGGGAGTCCGGCCGGCGCGACTGGCCTCCTCGCCCCCGGACCTGGGCCGGGCGGCGCGCACGGTCCGGCTCGAGGGCCCGGCCGGGGCGAGTCGGCGACACCAGTCCGGGTCGGATGGCTCCGGCGGCCGACCGCGGTCACATCATGTCACCAGCACGCTCGGTTAGTGCGGGGGAGAGGGGATTCTAAGAGACGGCTGACTCAGCGTCGATGAGATTTTGTGGCGCATCTTAAGTATATTTTTACTTACTCCCCCGCACAACTCGGTTAGTGCGGGGGAGAGCGGCGAGAGGAGAGGTTGGACTCACCGTCGTGAGTGGGCTGGGCTGGTTTGGTCTGTGGCTGGTTTCTGGAGGTTTCACATCATGTGATCGTAGCTAATCATGAAGTGAGCTCAGATGAGTAAAGTAAGTCATCATGCATCTCTCTCAGACTGGCCAGGCGAAGACCAGACTCGTAGTCTGAATAAGGGGCCTGAGTCGGGCTTGAGCCTGTTTTCTATCGCATTTCACCGTCTGCTCTCAGCTCAGCCATATCATTCCCTTCACAAGTTCACACAATGATGAATGTGTACATCCTGCCCCCGGAATTTGTAACACACCTCTCAGTTTACTGACGCTTTGTCTCACCCTCGGTCCTTCTCCGCAGTGACCAGCGACCTGGAGCCGCCTGAGCGGGCCAGTCCCAGTAACCACAGTCTGAGCAGCAGCAACGAGTCACTCTCGTCACGATCGTCACGAGATCTCCAGTCGGCAGGACCGTCCACGTCGTCACCTTATGCACGTGAGTTGGCGCCGGCTCGTATGATGTCTTGTCTAGGCCAGTTCCAAGCGGAGTCCCCCAAGCAGGGCTGCGGAGTCGATGGATTTACGGCGACTCCGACTCCGACTCCGGCTTTCAAAAACCAACTCCGACTCCGACTCCGTGCAGAAATGTCGACTCCGATCGACTCCAACTCCCGACTCCGACTCCGCACACCTGGCAAGGCTGCGGAGTCGACAGATTTTCGGTGACTCCGACTCCGACTCCGGCCGGGGTTTCCAATATCGACTCCGACTCCGACTCCGACTCCGGTCAAAACTGTCGACTCCGACCGACTCCGACTCCGACTCCGACACCGACTCCGCAGCCCTGCCCCCAAGGGACAGTCCTGGGGCCGCTGCTCTTTGTTATATATATTAACGACATGCCTGATGTGACTGAGTGCCCAATGAAAATTTTTGCTGATGATACTAAAATCTACCAGGCGTCAGTTGAGAGGAGCAAACTACAAGAGGATATTAACAGCATTCTGGCATGGTCCGAGAAGTGGCAGCTGCCGTTTAACGAGTCGAAATGCAAGGTACTCCACATAGGATCTGGAAATCCTCTCCAAACATACAAAATGCGGGACAGGATTCTTGATGCAACTCCTCTGGAGAAGGATCTGGGTGTCCTGATGGACCAAGAACTCAAGTTTAGGAAACAGGCAGCTGCAGCTACTGCCAGGGCCAGCAAGATCATGGGTGTCATTAAGAGATCTTTTCAGAAACTGGATCATGAAACTCTACCAATTCTCTTCAAAACCTTGGTGCGACCACATCTTGAATATGGTAATGCAGTATGGGGACTTTTTAATCGTGCGGACCAAATCCTCGTCGAGCGTGTACAGAGGCGCGCTACAAAGCTTGTCCGAAACATCAGACACAGACCATACACAGAGAGACTTCAGCTCCTGAACCTGCCATCATTGTATTATCGTCGTAGAAGAGGCGATATGATCCTGGCGTACCAGATCTTCCATGCTGGCATCGACATTCACCCAGAAATCTTCTTTGACCAAGCAACCGGAAGTATCACCAGAGGGCACCAATGGAAGTTGAAGAAGCTGCGTGCCGAATCCAGGATCAGGAGAAACGCATTTGCTTCAAGGATTGTAAATGACTGGAATTCCCTTCCAACCTATGTGGTCAACTCACCCTCACTCAACACATTTAAATCCAACCTAGACTGTCATTGGGCGGACCTTGCCTTCGCCATCCCCGAACAGGACCGATAGCCTGGCATCCTTACCATGAGCTTGGTCAGAACGAGACCCACAGGCCTAGTTGGCCTGACAAAATCTCGAGAAGCTGTAAGTAAGTAAGTAAGTAAGTAGTTAGAGTGGGCAATCTGTTTAGTGTTGTTTGAGCTGTAAAGGCCAGGATGGTCTTTTTAGAGGATGCGAATCTGTTGGCTGTTGCGCATCATCCTAAGGTATCAGCACTCTGCTACATGTCGGTTTACTGGTTTACCACACTTCGTAGAGTATCGATGAAACGTGTTATCGATAGTCTTATGCCCGTACAAGTATCGCGTATATCTTTCGCATAGTACATATGGCATCGATATTAAACTTGCTCAGCATTTATTTACCGGTGTTGTATGACGTTATTCTACACTGGTGTCTGCCTTCCTCACAGGAGGGAAGCTGCGAGTACGGTGTCCGCCCAGTTACCGGTCCCAGCCAGATCTGTGAGTATATCGAAGGCACTCCTACACTTCTTCAGTAGATTGCGCCTGTAGAGTAACCATTTCTGCAGCTAGCTGCAGACTAGCTGCAGACTACGCTACAGCTGCAGCTGTAGCGTAGTCATTCTTGTAATTGCATGTATCGTGAAGAAACCTTTTCTACAAAGCCACTTTTCGAGAAGCCACCTTGTAACACGAATGCATTTGTTTCGGTTTAATTTGCAAGTATCCTTACTACATAGTTACTACAGCATAAAATATTCGATTCATTGGATGATAGTTAGTCATGACACATCGTTTGTTTGCGTGTGTCCAGGTCGGTGTCTGTACCAGTGAGCTCGTGCGGTCCGTCCGGCTCGGTCGCCCCCAGTCATCACAAAGTCGGGTGAGTTGCACGGGTTGTGCGATTAATCGAACACGTCGGGAAGTCGATCGGGAGAGGAAGCGGGCGTACCGAGTGGCTTTCGGCAGTAGCTTCGGGGAAAAAACGAGGAAACATTGCCTTTCGCTCTTATTCACGAGGATTCGAACAAACACTGTCCGCATAAATCGTACCAATTCTGCCATGTTGTCATTATGCCATTGAACGGTGCATTGAACAAAACATCCAACGGTCTATTCCCTTGACTAATATTGTCTCTCTGTCTGTTTCAGACGGGTTCGAACGCTGTATGCCTGTGTGGGAGAGAATGAGTCAGAACTATCGTTTGAGCCGAACCAAATCATCACCAATGGTAAGACATGTGAAAACTAGTTAGTTTCCGAACTTGCAAGTGATTTTAACAGCTACCCAACATTTCTGTCATTCCATCATTGGCGACTTTTTAGTTTTTTCTTATTACCAGCAATGATGTGCACTTATCGTGTAAGTTCCGGCGATTATGACGGAGCGCCACCCGTCTCAGTTCGCCTCCTCACCCTTCCCCTTGTTCTCGCCGCAGTCCGTCCCTCCCGGGAGCCCGGCTGGCTAGAAGGCACGCTGAATGGCCAGTTGGGGCTGCTGCCAGACAACTACGTCGAGTTTCTACCGTGAGCGACCGGTGGGCACCTGGCCTGGGCACTGTACTCGCGGGGTGCCCCGCACAGGGCATTGTGGGACGCCGGGAGCACTCAGTGAGGTCCACCCGTGGGATCCGCCGGTCGGGACACTCAGAGATCCGCTGGACCGGACACTCAGAGGTCCGCTAGTCGGGAACTCGGCGGGATCTCGACCTGACGGACCGAGCAGACATTCCGAATAGTACGGCAGCGAACGGGGCAGCGCCGCCCCGCCGCCGCCACACATGCGATATTCCATGATAGCGCCGGTGATATACAGACACTGGCCCTGTCAAACCCACCGGTGATTGTGCAGCATTTATATGGGTGCAATGTGTGTAGTTTACACGCTGAGACTGATTGTATGTAAAGCGAAGCAGACACTATATTTACGGTAGCTCGTGTTGTGTACAAATGAACTGTGTGTGCTGCGAATGAGCTCCGTGCCTTTGCGAGATGTCCAATACATGGGGCCTCCACTGCGCGCCGTCCAGACTGGTGAGTTTGATAATACAGGCTGCTCCGAAGGTCGCGCAATCGCGCTGCTATACAGAGAGAAATACTTTGATACGGTACGTCTCAGTCAGATTCTTCTGTTACGCTAAGACGCAGTCAACGTCAAGTATCGAGGATTGGCCCGCTCAGTGTCAAATATGATGTTGGAAGTATTTAATATGGCTTAATAACAGTCTTCTACCAATAATATATTTATTTCTTATGTAGATCATGCATTCATAATGGTACATCACGTGTTCAACAACTTGAGCACAGCGTGTGAGGGTACACGCGACCAGATGCCCCGGTGAAATGCAGTTTCTGTGCTGCGCCAGGACGCCAGAATGCCGCATCCGAGAAAATACAGCAGGCGCTTCCAGTCATGCCTATTCATACGTACTCAAAAACACAGTTCGCACCTCGTATCCTGGCAAGAACAATCATTTGCGCTATTCTATATAAAGCATTCACATGGAAACAACCCTCGACAACATGGGTACAAAACGTCCCTTTGTAATTAAAACTTAACGAGTATTATTACCAACTATACCACTTGCTTTGGGATAACAATGCTGCTGGACATTGCATTGTGTTATTTACTGCCGGTACACTCGGGGGCAGAATGATGTTCCACCATTCCCTACCTTTAGGGCTCCCATGGCTCAGCACTGGCTGCTGCCAGTGTTGCCTGCCCTCAGCACTACTCAGCACTGCCTGGCAGTGCCAGTGTTGGCAGTGCTGCCACTGGCAGCAGCCAGTGCTGAGCCATGGGAGCCCGAAAGGTAGGGAGTGGTGGAACATCAATCTGCCCCCGAGTGTACCATATACGCTGAAACGTTCAGCGTTACGTTGAGAACTGCTTGAAAAAGAAGCGCAAATACGTGAGATTAGGTCGAACTCTTGGGCGGTGCGTCTTCGTAGTACCGTTTCTTGAGAGTGCGATACTTCCGCAGCATGTAGAGCGCCTCCAGCTCCTTGGAGACAAACTCGGCTTTGCAGAGCAGCTGTTCGATCTGAGCAGGATCAGTGACATCCTTGTTTTTCATGAACGCGGACTTCAGGCGTTGCCGGAAGAAATCATAACCCTTTGGATAATTCTTGCCCAAATGGAGCAGCTGAGAAAAGGTAAATCAGGTGAGCCCATTGGGATCATGGACTGTATTTGCTACAATATTCGCATGTGGCCAGAGGATCAATATTAATTAGGGACATATATTTCAGTTCAAAAGGATACCATCAATCAAGGCAATGCAGTTGTCAGTTGCGGTCACAGTTTGTCACTAAATCATATCTAAAAATAAAGCAAAATCAAACTGAATACATCACAGCCCAATGACTTACATTTTTGTAGGCTTGAATAACTTTACTTCTTGAGGCCAGAGACATCACTCAATCTGTCAACTCCGAGCTGTTAGCTGAAAGGACAAAACTGCAAATAAATTATGTGTTCAGTGTTTAATATGAAGAGTAGATTGTGATAAATCAGTGGCCAAGGCCCTAAAATTAGATTATTAGGCAGGCAGAGTGTGGCAGTTAGGTAGCTTGGAACAAAACCTGGGTGGTAGATTTCAGGGTGGACATTCAGGGGAGGTAAAGAGAGGGCATGTAATTTCTGAATGTGACACAAATTGTGGCACTTTTTAATGACATTTCAAACTCTTGTATGTAGGTTGTAAATTATTAGACTATGTAAGCTGTATGTTTTAAAACTTGTATCGCTTTTTTGGTAATTCAAGGATGCTCACTGCTGCATGCCCCATGGCCACCTCCCCGAACAGCCTCCAATTTCAGGCCTGCCCAAGTGGGTGCACCCACTTGCCCAGCATTTTCAAGGCATCAATGCCAGTCCAGCATTCTTATCTCCTTTATCTTTTAGAGAATGTTGTTATTCTGGGATGCCATTAAGGTCCCCATCCCAATTCAGATATTATTGTAAAAATAAAATAAATGATGTAGGCAGAGAGCAAAAATGTCTTTTTAAGGCAGGTAGGTACCCAGGAGAATAAGTTTGAAAATGAAGACAGTCAGTACAATTTTTGAGCACATAAGGTTTTAAAAAATGTTTAATTGGGTTAAAAACTGATGTTTTCGCTATGAAAACATATAAAAACAGGTTAATGCAGCACCTGCTCCTCTCCAGCTGCACAACAAAGGTAAGTGGTAAGTGCTAAAATTATTATAGGAGATAAGTTTGATTCAAGAAGGTCCAAAGTATGTGTTTGATAAGGCTAAGAGAGATTTGATTGTGCAATTTCATCCAGGGGGGTTCGCTCCCGTGCCTTCAGCATTACGAAAAATGGAAACAACCCGTGAGCAGCATCAGCTGCTCACGTATATGTTCAAGGAAAACAACATGTAATGGACTGCTGACGACGGCCCTCTCCACCAATCAGCGCTCGGCATCTCGAGCGCTGATTGGCTGGTAGCAAACGCGTCATATGTGGGTCTCATTTTTTTGCGATCAGTGAACGCGTTATTTAATACACAGTGGCCTATGGCTTGGCCTATGGAGAATGGCACGCGGAACTGAAGGTCAGTGTTATATTGGTTCGTACATGCGAATGGGGGTATTTGAGTGGCATTTGACACCATTTTCGAAATCTACAGTGAATTTCTGATCGACTCATGTATATATTTTTATGAATTTGATAGTATTAGTGCTACATAGTCGGTGTTTTATGTTGGTGTTGTTTCTCTCGGCCTTTGTCTTGGACTTTTATCATATCTTTTCTCGAAAATTCTTGCCATAACCAAGTCTAAACTGTACCTGTATAAGAGATAATTTGTGTTGAATATGAGGAGAAAGTAGTTATGACCATTCTGCCCATCAAACTGCCAGAAGGTGTTCTTGTAAGGTGATTGAAACTTCAGTACGGGTTGCAGATGTGAGTTTGACATTAGCATTGTTGTTGTAACCCCACTTGCTCTAATAAAATGGAAACATGGGGTTATGTACCCACTATTGCACAGCCTGGTATCAAGCTGGTTGATATGTGGAGGATAATGAAAGCATAAAAACTTTTCTTAAGTGAATAGGAGCGTTGCGTCTTGTGACTTTGTCAAGTCATTTTAAATCAAATGATTGTGATTGTAACTTTTACTTCAATTAATTATTGTTGCTAGTTTTGACCTTTTTAATCATCAAGTTTTATGTGTACCAATTTCATATGCTTGTGTAATGTCTGTGCGGCTTTGTGCAGTGTGCGTGTCTTGAAACAAACCAATTTATTTTGTACCTTTTTGTACTTCAACAAATGTATATCAAAAGACAAAAATGTCATGTCTATTATCATTGACACTACTGCAGCTAACTTTGCCTATATTCCTATCTTTCAGAGGCATTCAATTCAATCTGCTTTCCAGTGCAGTACCTAGGAGGCTGCAACTGAAACTCGCACAAGGCAATCAAGTGTCACTTCATCAGCCTACAGTAACAGCCCATCTGTAATCAAGATATGGATGAAGTGGCATAGAAGAACAACCAATTCAAACAAAAAAAGATTGTATTTTGTTTTGGACTATTTTTAAGCATAACAGAACACTACACTTGCTGCTTTTTATGTTAGCCCTGTGTGCAGTTTTGAATAATTTAACTATGAAATGCTTTCGCCCACTATTCTCTTTAGATAACCTTCCTTTGTAATGCATTTTGAGCTTACATGCATGATGGAGGCATATTTCCCTTGGCTTCATAAAACTATTGCAAGCTTTTGTTATGGACATTGGTGCTAATATGATGCTTCAAATGTGTCCAGTAGTTGGTGAAGGGAGAAGAGAAGTAGGACAGCTGATAGCTATTACCAAAAATATGTGCTTGTCTGCACTTCGGGCTGTTCCATCATATGCAACCTCTTTTTACCTCCTTGAGTTAAAAACACCTCATCTTTTGTTTCTTTCCTGTGTGCCAATTGTTTCCGTGGTGCTATAAATGTCAAGTTTGAAGTTGGTATCTAAGTGAGCAGAATGTGCATTATTTCAGTCCGTCTTGAATCATTCGTCTCGAATTATATGACTGACATCCTGTTATTTGTCCTGCAATGTATGTGCCTGTGTCCGCCCTTACCTCCGGCTTTAGCCTCAAACCAGCCCTGCTGAGCTCTGTCGCCGGCGCGGTGTGTCGCAACGTGCTGTTTCTCCACTTCAGCCGACAGCTGCTAGGGATCGTCCTGTGCCATGCGCCATGCGACACAGCAATTGTAAGCTTCATGTCACATTCGGACTGATTGGCTCCGCGTATGTGCATCCAGCCGGGTGCTAGTCGATATCAGGGACGTGGCTCGGACTGTTGTGGCGGCGTGCACTGTGGTGGTTGAAGTTGTTGTATTTCTGTCAGTGAAAAGCATTAATACATAACCGTGGCTGCAGCCCAATGTTATTGTGAATTTCAGAGGGAGTGGCCAGTCAGGAGGGCCCCATGTGGGTATGGATCCAGTGTCCAGTGGGATTGGCTAAGATTTCCGGCGATTGATAAACGCTTCTATGAAAGTAAACCTATTGAGTTATGAGGGGAGGTCACGTGACGGACCTGACCTTACTAAACTCTTGTGAAAACACGACACATACGAACGATAAGAAACCGACAGCTCTTCTTTCTGCCAAGTGTCATCTTTGTGTGAAGGATTTCTTGGCACTGAGTGTTCAGAAATTGCATTGTTTTTTGACTGTGCAGAGGCTCACGAGCGACAACATAGGTCAACAACCTGACGTACCTTAAATATGCGACGAAGATCCAGCTTGATCAAAAGATTGGACGAGTCAAATTTCAGCTCTTTAGCTTAAAAGAATTTTGAGCTATCTTAAAAACCGTCAGTGTGGCACCACATCGCCTCCCCGCGCGGTCGGAAGGTAAAAGTTCGCCGGCTCTAACTAAACAAATACGCGTCGCATCGCAAATTCATTGACGGCGTTCGAAGCGTCGTTCAATTTGCTTTCGAAACATATCCTAACAATAACATTTAACTGCCTGGCGCAATCTCCAACAAGCAAAAGTTCCGTGCACTCATCCTCATACAGTGTTAGCGGCCACCGGCCGCCGGCCGCTGACCCACATTCGCGTCATCAGGGAACGCTGCAACTAATTTATTGTTTCCAACTTTTTTCCCGGAGCGTTCTACCTGGTTTATATAGCCTTGATTTCATCCAAAAACTTCGAAAATTGAGCTGGCATGTCAAATACGACGCCACTGTGACATTTGCAGCGCAACGAAACAGGTTCTGTATTTACTAATTTAACAAGTTTCTACGCAAAATTTGCACTTAGAATTATCTCCAGTATTGTTTCAGTACAAATAATTTGATTCATAACATCTAGCTTCTGTAATTTTTACAAGAAAACGTATTAACTTAGCTCAGCCCCAGCGGGGGAAAACAAGAGCGTAAACAATAAACAAATCTTCGAAGTAAAAAGAGATGTATCAATTACGTCATCAGCTTTTGAACGATACCCCAAGAATGCTGTCTGCGTTTTCAAAATGGGATGTTTCTGATGTAAGAAACTTCAATCCCATTCATACAATTGATTTGAGACAAAATGATAGGTGCAGTAGAATTCCATAAGTCCAGATGTAGTCTGGTAAATATCGTTTTGACTAGCAGCAAGTAAATTCTAGTGACGTCATTACACACACGGTTTTTGTTGACTTTCGAAAGCCTCAAAGCTGGCTTATCTTTTGAAGCGCGTGAAGCGCGTGTGTGCGCAAGACGTGAAGGTGGAGAGCAGACTAATCCAAATCATTTTGTTTTAACTTGTATATCCTTCATTTTTCCGAGCTTTGTAGAGATTTCAACCTTTCGCCATATGCTACTTTCGTTAAAATTGCTTGCTTTCACCGCTGCCTCTTTTTATCACTGAAATTTGTAGGTAATGCCAGGGTCAGGGTATATTGAATTTGAATTAGGGTAATGCAACTTTCACAATTGAAATTTGTGTTCCTTGTTATGGCAAACAGTGCGTGCATTCGGCATCCAGATAATTGGGGATAATTTTCTGGGATTACCTGTATCATTTGGTGTTTTAGGTAGACACCTTGCGGCTTGCGGCTTGCACAGCGGTCATATGCCATCAAGTAAGAGAGCCATTACCTACCTAACAAAGCGAAAACAATCTAAAAATGTGTTCAATTGCATCAATGGTCCCTGCAATACCAAATAATTATCAGGATCCTAGATAATTATCCCTCATTTTGTGAATGCCGAACGCAGGGAATATTTATTTACAGCAGCTAAATATCAGTTACATCACTGAGACATATAAGGCCTGGCTACACTTAGCATTTTCTGTGTGCGTTTTTTGCGAGTTTGCGTGCTTTGAGTAATATCGAATATCGTTCTAGACAAAGTTAAAATGAGCATAGCTTTTATATTAGTTGTATATTACCTAAGGTTAATATAACTTACATTAACTAAAAGTTTATATAAAAACATCCCAAAGCCGTAATATCATTTTTTCCTAGAATGATATGCAAAACATGCAAACTGGCAGAAAACGTGCAGTGTAGCATGCCTTTAGTTGATACTTTTAACAGTGGATAGAGAAAGCGTTTAATCATAGCTAACCCTACTAGTAAGACTTGTAACAACCAATACTGCAAGCTGCAAGGTGCGGCTAGCAGGATGCAGGTTGATGAGGTGCACCAGTCCAAGTTCGAAATCGGCGCTAACCCTTCAAACAGAGCTGGAAAATCCACAACAATGGAGGTTGAGTCTGAAAATCTGTACTGAACCCAAAAATGACCAGTCTAAATTTGCACTGACCTCAAAGTAATTAGCCTGTCTTCCAGTGGTTATTGTCTTAGCCTCTGCTTTGGTCACAGCAAAGGATAAGCTACATGATTCATAGGGCCAACAGCGTGACTCGTAGCATACCTTACATCACCATGGGTCTGTTCCCGTGGCTCCTTTAGCCTCCTCCAAGCTCCTCTAACCTCTTCTTGTTTCAAAAATCGTTCCTGTCGCTCCTCCAAGCTCCTCTAAAGTCATGTAGTCCAGTTTTACGGGTCGACGATTCTAATCTGTCAACTCTCACCCAGGTCGCCCGCTGAAGTGCGATGTCCAAGCGCGGCGCAGACAAGCAGCTGACACACGATAACTGGGACGCCGAGGACAGCGGCGGAGAGGACGCCGGACAGTTCCAGGCGGCCTCTGAAGAGGTGCTCCGCGGGCGTGTCATCAAGAAGGCCCGCCGCAGGGTGAACCGCTCCGACGACAGCTCGGTAGGCCGCGCTGCTGGGTGCTGAGGCACCCCGTGATTCCGTTATTCCTGGCTACATTGCATTGTTTGTGTCAGTTTTTATTTGTGTTTATCCAAAATATCACCAGCTAACCCAGTGGTTTAGTAACCCGGTTATAGTTTAATGTCGTAATCTGTTTTTCCCGCAGGGCGCCGCTCCCAGCCCGTTCGCTGCCTTCTCTGGGTTCAAAGCACCGACTGCCAAGCCGGCCGGTGGCGCGGACAACCCGTTCGGCTTCCTGGCAGCCGCAGCCAAGTCGTCTCCCACCGCCGCTAAGTCGTCTCCGGCGGCCGAGAAGACCGGCTCCGAGGCATCTAAGGCGTTCTCTCCGGCCGCATTGCCCTCCACACCGGCTGCCAAAGTATCCAGCAGCGATCTGTCCACCCCGGCCACCATGTCCTCCCCGGTGCTGACTCGTCCACCGCTGCGCTCCGGAACATCCGGCGGCTCCGGGTCTTCTGAGTACCACCGTCAGTTGCAGGCGCTCAACCGTAGCATGCTCAGCTGGCTTCAGACACACGTCGACAAGAACCCGCTCTGCATCCTGACGCCCGTGTTCAAAGACTACGAAACTCACCTGGCGAGTATCGAGCGACGCTTCGGTCCGGCGGCGACCCCGACTACCGGTGGAGCGGCCGCCAGCAGCGCGGTGACCGAAAAGACCACACCTGTCTCTGCGTCAACCGGAGGAAGTTTCAGTTTCGGCTCGGGGACAACAAAGCCGGCTGACGCTGCTTCGCCGCCCAAGTTGACTGGGTTCAGTTTCGGCACCGGCGCTGGGAAGGCAGCGGATACGGGCGGGACGGGCGGATCGTCGGCCGGTGGGTTCAGCTTTGGCCTGCCGCAGGGCAAGGCTGGGCTGACGGGAGCGGGTGGAGCGCCGGCCGCTTCTGCTGGGTTCAGCTTCGGCCTCTCGTCGTCAGGGAAGAAGGCAGACGCCTCTCCGGCTGCGGCGGCACCCGCCAGCACAGCAGGCTTCTCATTTGGCTTCCAGTAAGTCATTTGTCGTGCTCAAACTCAAGATTTGACGTTAAAATAGTTGAAAGTTACGATTCATTCACGTCTTCTTGTAATCGGTTTGTGAGCTTATTCTGGCATACATTTTGCAACTTTTGTTTGAGCTTTATTTTTGTAGAATTGTTTATGCACCACTGCATGCATATATACATATTTCTTGCCAACTGTTATTACATTATTTGAGTGGTGTTTGATGTGCTGTGCCAGGTCGGGGAGCCAGGGCGGAGGTGCGGCGCCGGCCACGTCCACAGAGGAGGCCGAAGAGTCAGAGGAACCGCCGGTGCCTGTCGTCAACACAGTCAAGGAGGATGACGCCGTATACTCAAAAAAGTACGTTACCAGGTCCTGGGCTCGGTTGAGCCATATGGATAAGGAACTGGGTCTTACTAGCTTATTTGAACCAGCTTTGAAGCACAATGCGTCTCTGTTCGTAAAGTGTGCGTGAAAAAAAAACTCGTGTCTCTCAGCTTATAATGCTGCACAATGTTGAGTTCTACAATGTTTCGCTAATTTATGTTTCAGCGTTCAGTGACCGTTCTTATTAAAGTTTTCGTACTTTTATTGCAACTCACTTTCATCTCGCATTTTTGCTCTTTTAGGTGCAAGCTGTTTTACAAGAAGGACGGGTCGTTTGTGGAAAAGGGTGTGGGAATGCTGTACCTGAAGCCGTGCTCGGACGACAAGTACCAGTGTCTGATCCGTGCCGACACCAACCTCGGGAACATCCTGCTCAATATCAAGCTCAGCAAGTAAGTGCGATCAACGGCGCTTGTTTGGTATTCTTTTTAGCGTTTACTCGTCGCTTCTCATGGCTACAACTGAGGACCGATACTTGTGATGACTATTGAAACTTTCAATAGTTGAAAGCACATTGTGACTTGAGCCTTATTATCCAACGATCGTTTGTTTTTGAATGCATTAATTTTACCTCGCGTTCGATGTCTCTCGGACGACGAAGATTCTACGTCGTCAGGCCAATCCCGTCCAAGGTCAGCGGGGCTCGGCTGCAGTTCTGGAACGTGATTGGCCGGACGGCGTAGAATCTTCGCCGTCCGAGAGACATCGAACGCGGGGTTAGTATTCTGGGCGGGCCAATGGTTTTGGGTACAGCACTTGAGATGGCGGCGTTACCGATGTTGAATGTACTTAGCCCACAGGCTAAGGTAACCACAAATGTCGACACCCCGGCTTCTGTCGCTGTGTAGCTTTGGATTATTGTACCGAACGACCAGCTGACTGTACTCTCTTCGCCCTAGGTCGATCCCCACCCAGCGGATGGGCAAGAACAACGTGATGATGGCGTGCGTGCCGAACCCACCGCTGGACCCCAAGAAGAAGGAGGCCGAGTCGTCGCCCGTGCCACTCCTCATTCGAGTCAAAACCGGCGACGACGCCGACGAGCTACTTCGTCAAATTGACGAACACAAGCGCTAGAAGGACGCTAGACGCATTGGCTACTGGCGGAGGCTGATACGCCTGGTTTTAGGCAGGCGGTTCAGCATCAGTGATTAAATGCCAGGATGCTGAGCGGGTGGGGTGGGATGGTTCAAAACTACTGAATTCGCAGACGCCATGAACATAAGAAACGATGTGATTGTCGAACGCCGCGGGAACGAAATGCCGAAATGCGAACGACATGAGTCTCAGTGACCGTGCTCCGGCAGTTGATGTGATCATTTGGACCGACGCCCGAGTTGATTGGCGCATTGCTGTGAGGTTAACTGTGGTAACGGGATGAGGAAATGCTGAAAACGGTTGAAAAGTTTTGTCTGCTGGACATTCCCAAATACTGTTCGCCTCGAGGCATGCACGTCGCAACGTATTTTAGAACATCACGATTTTAGCAAATATATTTTGAAATGTTTCGCTATCAGAGGCTTTCAACTAACGAGCAGCAGGCGATATACTTCCACTTTTCTTGATTCATCAATCATCATCGTATCGTGTACCTACTATGTCGGCCAGTGCAACGTCAAAGGAATGACAAGTAACCAAGCCGAACACTCACCGCTGCGTCTGCCTTTTACCTAGTGTCGGAAAAATTATTTAATTTACTAAGTACGTGCGAATTGGGGACCATTCACAGAACTGGGTTTTGCTAGGATTCATATATGTAGCCGGATAGTGGGCAGGCGAGCCGCGAGGGCCTCATTTGCAAAAAGGTTTTCCCTGCCCTGCAGATAAAAACTGCGACGAATGTATTGCAATGAATTTGGCAGCTTGATTTGGAAGCGATGTTTCTATTCAATTGTGGCGCTTTTCTACGTTTACGAATTGCATTGTTTGTGTGGGCGTGTTGTGTGTGTGAATTTAAGTGTTGTGAGAAATATTGCATATTTTTTGCAAGGCCGATTTTTTGTAAGTTATTTTTTGGGGGCTCATAAGGTGTTGAATTTTTGCTGCGTCTGTCTAGGTCATATACCACCATTTATCTGTTGCTATCGACAAATGCTTCCTGTTTCTTGAATCTTGAACGCCTTGAACCAGTTGCTTAATTAACATCTTTGCGTGTTTTATGATTATGAGTTTAAAATCTTTCAGATAAGCTTGTCAGCTATACAGCTGTAGCTCTTCTCTAGTTTTAAAGCAAAGGTCATTAATGTCACTGAGCTGAGCGCGTATTTGTTTAAACTGTTAAAGTTTCAAAATCTGGAAAATTCTGGTTCATGATTCCGGCGTGGTCAAAATCTGGTCATTTGATGGCCCGTAGTGACCAGAAATTAGTATGAACTTTTCAATTAATGAGTTTTACTCCTTTGAATGACAGTTGCGTACCTACCCTGTGTTGTCCGTTGATGTTGTTAGTTGTTACATCATACATGGCCCAGGAGCACAGTGAATTTCAGGGGTTTAAATTGTCCACAGTGCCTGGATGTGTTATTTTCAGACCACTTTGGCATGGTTTAGGTAGATAAAGCATTTAGTTTTTTCTTATTAAATCATTCCACACTTTTTCACAAAATATTAATAATATAGGTATTGTGGGACTTGACATAACTCAAAATGAAGATCTTTTAAACCAATGAGACACAGTGATCATTCACAAATTACACCTAAGATTATTCAGTTATCTATTCAGTTATGGGTGGCGGTGTAGAATAAAAAAGTTATAAATTGCCGGTCCCGTAGCTCAGTTGGTAGAGCGTTGGACTCCGCGTGGTGAGAGCACGCGTTCCCGGTTATAACAGTCCGGGTTCGAAGCGCGACGGGCGCTTACATTTATGGGCCTCCTGACAGGTATGGTTGCGGTTGGTGGCAGGCCGTAGCCATGCGAAGTCAGTGAGGGGACCGGCCGTGCGCGGCTATGTGCGCACGTTAAACTTTGGACTCTAAATTCTGCCATAGAACCGGAATTGCGTGATCGGAGGGTAGAGGGCTGGGTCACCGCAACAAGCTTCGCTTAGCGGCGGCTCTGTCCTTGTGAATCCTTCCTATCAAAAGGTTCGGACTAAAAAAAAAAGATATATAACTATGCTCTAACCCAAGACTGAGACATATGGATCATAAGCTGATGCCTGTAAGATATGTTCCAGCCTCACTCTTCCCCTTTGCTCATCTTTTATTTTCTATTTTTGTGTGGATATTCTCTGGCATTATTCTATGCTCACTGGACACTGAGCACTGAGCAGTGATATCAGGACCAATATTTCAGCTCTGTAAAGCTTGTTCAGAACTGAAAATATGTGCTAACTTGATAAATATGTGCAGTGTGCATGCACCATATTTTGTGAATAGCCATGCTGTGCTCCATAAATTTGTTGCCTACCTTTCAGTCCTCATCTGTGCTTCTGAAATTCAACTGAAAAGATGGCAGCAGTAACAGAGCCCCTGACTCTCCAAAGAGGTGAGTGTCAGTGTAGTTTTGCTCTTCAAAACTTCTTGTACATAGGCAAAGATAGCATGGATAATGGGAGGATAACATGAATAAAAGTAGTAAATTTGGGCTGTTTTTATAGGAATAAAACTAGTTGCTGTTTATCATGGTTCTTTCTGTTTCATTTTGAATTTTTTTGATTAGATGTCATTTGTTGTTACTGATAAGACCATGCAAAAGGGTGAACTCTTGGTTATTGCTGAATCAGGTTGGGTAACATATCATGGGCTCATACTTCATTGAGACTTATCCATTAACAAACAGATGTCATGTGGGAAATTCTATCACCATAGCTGGCATGGCTGAGTTTGAAATGATACTATTACAGGATGAGGAAAGTGACTGTCTTTTTTGTCAACATTTACCAATTTTCTATTTTATTTCAGATGTGAAGAGGGCTATAGAGCTTCTTGACAAACTTCAGAAAAGTAAGTAAATCAAATAGGTTTATCTGAAATGCCTATCATCAAATAAAACTATTTTAGGTCATTCTAACAATTCATTAGCTGTCCTGTTAACATTGAAACTTGACTGCTTTATTTCAACGTCCTACTCTGAAATCTGAAAGACAACTTATATTTCATTAGTTCAAAATAATAGAGCCATCTTATTGATTATTCTCGAATGTGTGCTTTTAGTGATAAACACATCCCTGTACTCTGTAGAGTGCCCTACTGATCCAATAGTGTAAATCAGTATCTAACCCTGATGATTCATCTGCCCTTCAGCGGGCGAGGTGCCGACGGCCAAGCTGGCCGCCCTGCAGAAGGTTCTGCAGTCGGACTTCTTCAATGCCGTCCGCGACGTGTACGAACACGTGTACGAGACGGTCGACCTGTCCGGCTCGCCCGACGTGCGGGCTTCTGCCACGGCCAAGGTCAGGTTCTTCTGTGGGATGTACTGTGATTTGTGCAATGATGAGCGGAATGACGCCTCATACTCACTGTTTTACAGCTCATCTCGTGTTTAGTTTCGGTGTAGTGTCATTAATAGAGGTTGGTGGTGCAATTGTATCGGTTTTGTGTGCATTCAATGTATGTGGCCGCTGCTGGCTGAGCGGCCTCGGGGATTTGTTTTTTTCTTCTAATTATGGGTTTCCTTCTGTTCATATCTCTTAGTGCGAGATCGGTTCCGGTAAACGGTTCTGGTAACCACCATGCCGTGTCGGGTCGTGGTTTCTGTAAGCGGTGTGCACACGATTAGTCATTTTTGAGTGGTAACTCCATCGGGTAATTCCACCGTAGTGGTTTCAAGACCAATAGCAGAATCACGATGCCTGTTTTAAGACATTCGTGTCTTGTATATAATGAATCGTTTTGTATCTCACTGTTGGGTTAACGGTCATTGTGCATTTGACTGTCACTTCCTCCACAGCTGAAAATATTGATATTTGTCGTTTGACGTCCCCCGTCACCCCTGCAGGCGACAGTGGCCGCGTTCGCCGCTTCGGAGGGCCACGCGCACCCTCGTGTCATCCAGCTACCCAAGACCGACGAGGGTCTCGGCTTCAACGTCATGGGCGGCAAGGAGCAGAACTCTCCCATCTACATCAGTCGGATCATCCCGGGCGGCGTGGCCGACCGGCACGGCGGGCTGAAGCGCGGCGACCAGCTGCTCTCGGTGAATGGCGTCTCGGTGGAGGGCGAACACCACGAGAAGGCTGTGGAGCTGCTCAAAGCCGCCCAGCACACGGTGAAACTGGTGGTTCGCTACACGCCGCGCGTTCTCGAGGAGATGGAGATGCGTTTTGACAAGCAGCGCTCGGCTCGCAGGCGGCAGCAGTACTGAATGCAGAGGTGAGCTGGGGTGGAGCGGAGCAGGGTAAAGGATGGGGGCGCGGGCAGGCGGCCGCAGTACTGAGCTCAGAGGTGAGACTGGAGATGCTAGAAGGGGCAGGGTGTGGGTGGGGGCGGGGGGGGCAGGCGGTAGCAGTGTTGAGCGCAGAGGTGAGGGCGGCGCTGAGACTGGGAGCGGGATAGACTGGGGTGTGGACCAGGTGAGGACAGGGGCGGGGCAGCAGTACTGAACGGAACGAAGAGAGGAGGCACAGTTGGGTGAGAAGGGGCGGAGAGTGGTGGGACAGAGACTGGAGACAAGCGTAGAACATACCAGGGGTTATGTTACTAGAACGGTGGTTTTTTTTTTTTTTGAATGCATACCTAGAAGTAATCCTCTTTTATTTGTTACTTTTTCTGTTCTTTTACAAGGCAACATTGGCAGCTATTTATTATGCAGCTATATTTTAACGTTTGAAAAAGGAATATTATAAACACTGTGTCATACGATTGAATAGGATGCTTAGTTATAAAAGGCGCGAACTTTCTTTCCTTTTCTCATCGCTTCTCCCCTTTTGTTGCAGTCTGCAAACACCGCCACCACATTCTGGCGTCGGTTGCTAACGAGATGCATCATGTCCTCACTCTCTGGAGCACGTTCCCGTTTATTGAGAGCCTTCTGGCAACTGCCGATAGGATATGTGGGTCACAATTTTCCCCGAGTGGCCACGCGGCTGTCATCACTCCGAGACAGTTTGCGTGGTGGTCGCTAGTTTGAGTGGAGCTCCAGTAGGAAGAAGCTAGCTTACTCCGCGTGAGTGTACGCTCAGTTCTTGTGTTGTGCGGCTGTAGTAAGTGTGGTTTGAATTTTGAACCCGAGAGCGAGGTGGATCGTTGTCGCCTGGTCAAGGTGGTTTTGCGTTGTGACCCTAGTCGAGAAAAAGCTGCCGAATTTCATCTTGATGTGCAGTGTGCTTGGTTGATGAACCGTCTGGTTTCCCTAATGTCTATCTCGGTAGCGAGTTAAAGACATGATCTGAGGTAGATAATCTGCTAGAGCCGAAATTTACCGCATGAAAGAAAGGCCTACTCGTTTCACCTTACCCTTACGAGGGAACGTTTGGTGCAATGTACCCTGTAGGTAGGCACTAGATAGGGCGTCCTTAAGGTGTATGTATACCGATGCTTGTTACAGAAGTAATCGTGGCAGCTAGAAGCATTTCTCCGGTGTGGTAACACGAGACTAGCCTAGGTTGTGAATTCGCTCGGTCCTTATGTGAGTGTTTTGGTTTGTTGTGCCCCAATGGGTCGTTGATGGCACCTTTTAGTGTATCGAAGTTCGAACCGAGGGAGAACGTTAGGAGCGGAAAAGTGCGACTTGGAGGGTCGATTATGTTGTGCGATGCCACACCAACGCTTTATTCGATTTGCTCATAACCGTGTATGTTTAATTGTACTACGTGGTAGCAGATGAGTGCGAGGTTCTCGTGGATAGAGTGACAGCACAGGCTGTCCTTTTTCTTCTTTCCAGTAACCAAACCAATGACTTATCGAACACAGAACGGTGTCTGTTGGTCACCTAAACCGTTTTTATTGCGTTAGTTGTTAAGTGCTTTTTTCCACTTTCGTCCGCCGGTGATCAAAATATACAACTGGTCTCGAACGAGCGCTGTTGGATTGGGTACAACGAATGGATGGAATCACTAACACTTTTAGATGGCTAATGATAAACTTGCGTGGAAATGCAGCGCCTGAACGTTATTGGTTCAACGAAATAATGATAGCGCATTGCTACAGCTAGACGTGATAGATCGTCTATCGTTCGCAAAATGCATGTCACGGGAACCAGGCGCAAAGTTAGCCCGGGGAATTAGCGCCCTAAGACTACTAAACATAAAAGTATGTTTTACAGTATCATTTAAAGATTTTTGACGCGTATGTGCCGTTCGGTGCTCAGCAATACTTCCATCACCCTAGAGCATCGGTTGCGTGAAAGTTCCCCTTTTGCGGCTAATGGTGGGTTGCTCGCCAGACACTTTTTAAGTTTCCTCACTGCGCATGAAAAGTCCGTGTTGGCTGTTCTAAAACTTTCGAATTTGGCGTAAGTGAGCAAATTGCATTATATGGCAATCGTGGTTGATGGGAGGTTCAGATTCTCTCAGCATAACAAAAAAAAATCCCATGTTGAATGTTCGCATTCATTTATTGTTGGACACAAATTCCGCAGAATTGACTAACGATTTCATAAATAACGAATAATGTATAACAGCAGCAAATATGCTTTAGTGACGATACATTAAACAGACGACCGATTGGTCTGTTGTCAAGGTTTGTTCCCTGTCTCTCAAACATCTAGCGCCTGTCGGTGCCGCTGGATTCGCCGGTCGCTGCACCCTGCGGGTCGTCGCTCGCGCCATCGGCGGCCACCTCTCTGATCTGGCTGAGGGCGCTGATGGTCCGCAGCCGGCGAGGGGCGGCACAGACTCGCGGGGTGACGGTGTCCACCACCGCCGCCTTGCGCATCCGCTCTCTGAACCCGCCGCACCTCTCGAACCAGTAGAACAGGATCAGAGAGCAGAGCAGGATCCCGAGCGGCAGCAGAAGTAGTGGTAGCTCGTAGTGCAGCATGCCGCTACCCCAGACCGGGCCCAGCATCAGACCTATGCACATGGACAGTCGCAGTCCGGCCGCACCGACCCCCTGAGCGCCGCGAGACAGCATCTTGGACATGAACGACGTCACCACAGAGTTGACCAGTGGGTAGCCGAAGAACTGCACGCCGCTGCCGACTAGCACGACCCAGAACCAGCGCTGGTCCCTGGGTGGCAGCGGTGAGGGCGAGGCGGCGCCCCAGCCCCACGAGGGGGGTTGCCAGCCGGCCGGTCCGCCGGTGTCCTCCGCAGAGTCACGCAACATGCAGATGGTCACCAGTATCTGAACGTGGGCCAGAATCATCACCAGAAGACCGCCAGAGATGAGTCGCTGGTCGTGCATGCACGGCAGGAACGGGGTCAGGAAGATACACAACAGCACTGCGCACTGCACCAGACCACCGGCGATGAAAATCTTCCCGGTAGCGTCAATCTCCATGTGAAGATCTCGCTCCACCAGCGCCGGCAGCAGTGCTTCCAGCGACGTCTGCGTCATGTAGGCGGCGAAGTTGCAGAGCAGGAGGGCAGCGATCGGCCAGCAGAGCAGCTCGCGCCACTCGCGGACCACGGAGACAGACGGGGACGGGGAGACGGCCGGGCCGGAGACGGGAGACGGGCGACAGGGGCCGAACGGTACTGGGCACTTGTCTCCGTGCGGGCAGTGGCTGGAAGGCGGCTGGTGGTCGGGCGTGTGCGGCCACACCACATTCGTATGGTGCGCATTCTTCGGCGCCAGGGAGTCTGAAAGTTTGCCCGAGGCGGCTGTCGTAGCCTCGGCGCTGTCCTTATCATCCTCGGTGTTCGCCGCGAGAGGTCGGTAGGGAGGCCAGGAACTGCACTGGTTCGGACTCGGCTGGGGCAGGGACAGAACCAGTGGCCGCTGCGGTGTGTGCGATGTCCCCTCCTCGGTCGCCGCGGCTCCCGGTTTTCCTCGGGACACTGGGGTGTTCTGTGGAGTCGGGCCAGTCTGCGGAGCCGAGCTCGGTCTCTTGTTCGGGGTAGACTCTGCCGTCCTGGGAATTTCTCTGGTAAGCCGACGCTGACGGGTCTTCTCCTGCACTCCTAACTGACCTGAGCATTGGGAGCAGACTCGGCCCTCGGGCGTCGTTCCCGTCTCCGCCGAGGCCGCTCCGGCCGCGTTCTCCGCTACCGGAGTCAGCGCCGGCCGTCTCAGCTGCACACCACTGCCGCTCTCATCCTTATCCACGGTGAGGTTGGAGTAGAACAGTGTCAGCAGCACCATGTAGCCCAGGTAGCAGAGCATCAGCAGCAGGCCGGGAGCGTTCAGCAGGGTCACGCGGTGTCTGAAGAGGTCCGGCATGCTGGTTAGGTAGGCGCCCACCGCCGGACCGCACACGATGCCCAGCTGGCGCGAAAACGTGATGACCCCGATGACACTGGTGCGGTGTGTTAGCGAGGTGGTGCGCGTCAGCTCCGCCAGCATGGCCGTATTGGCACCCGAACCCAGCCCAGACAGTGCGCGAGAGCCGATGATCGTCACCGGAGAGCCGGCGAAGAAGTACAGCGCGTTGCCGATGATTTGCGGCAGGGCGGCTAGAACCAGCAGCGGACGAGTTTCGACGAACATGTCGGCCCACAGACCGCCCACGTATCCGCCGATGATGTTCGCGGCGGCGTAGCTGACGATCAGCAGACCAAACAGGGTCGTCTCGCGGCCGTCCTCGGCGCCCAGCGAGCCCAGGTAGTCCATGGCCGTGGGGAAGATGACGCCGTACTCGAAGCCACCCAGGAAGAAGTTACAGATGATGACGACGTAGGAAAGGCGGCGTCTGAGCAGCCGGCGCCGCTGCTCCGTACAAGACGTCGCTACCAGTTGCAGTAGTCGCCGACACATGACGACAGATCGAGTGACTCACGGTGACACAGATGGACGAGGTCACGTGAATCACGGTGACACAAGCTGGCAAAATCACGTGACCCTTTGACACGGAACCCGCGGCGGCACTCAGTCGCGGCGCTGCCGCGCGACCCGCCCCGGCCGCCGAACGGAGACTGACCGGGCCGGCCAAACGATCGGCCGGAGCCCGCGGCACTGCCGGGTCACGTGCCGAGGTCGCATAGAGATGCAAAATCGAGACGGAATGAGGCCGAAATGGGAGAGGGTAGAAATAATTGTTCCCAAAGAGCTCGTTTCGGGTACAATTTATCGTTAGGATCAAAGAGTTAACGACGACGAAATCAAAGAGTAAAGAGTGGACGGCGACCTTTACACGCATAACTCCAACATTCACGCGTAATTATTTCGTCATTCACTGAATATAATGTAAGCGGATTTCCGCTTACATGTTATGCGAGCGGATACTGGGCCTACCAGAAGTGAAAGTGGCAACTCTAAATTCGTCCTGTGCTGCAATAATGTCCTTGGTTTGTTGTCGCATGTTTAGTGCTATTTAGTTATGATACTGATTTGTAATGACTATTTTATTATTTGATATTGATCGGTACCAATGTTTCTTTAGTTATGTGTCATATTTCTTATCCGAAGAGTTTTAGACTTCCTGTAATGATTTCGTCCAATGATGTAGCTGCGCGCCACGCGAGAGCCAATCAGGTAACCGCTTATTCTGACCAATGAGAGAGCAGCCGAATTTCCGTTGAACCCCCGTCGCGTCCAGAGCGGGAATTCGGTGCGCCGCGACATGGCGAGGATCGGGATGTGCTTGGATTGCGCCTGCTTGAACGGTGGGTTTCAACTTTCGTGATAATTACTGTTTATTTTATTTCACATTCTCTAATAACGGGTTTTGATATTTCGTGCCGGCTTTGTATGTGTCGGGATTGTGACAGTTGTTTGTCTTTTCTTTCTAGGGCGTTTCAATTTGTTTGTTGTCTGCTTGTGCTGAATACACGCTTGGTTGGCTCCGAGTTCGGCGTGTGCCTCTGACGCCAGCGGCCGGGGCTAGACGCTTACATCTGGTGGCAGCGGTGGGATGCTCTGAGCTCGACGGCCTAAGCTTGACGGCCTGCATCTGGCGTCAGTAGGATTCTCCGAGCGCGACGGCCTACATCTGGCGTCAGTATAAGATTCTCCGAGCGCGACAGCTGACTGCTCAACGTCTACACGCCGGTGAGACCTATCCAGTTCGGACTTATCCGATAGCGGGATGTGCCTGAATCCGATAGCGGGATGTGCCTGAACGTTTGTGTCACCCGATCTAAGCGATCGCCCTTTGACCATTGTTGGAGCGGGTAATCCTGCCTCGCGGTCCGAGGACTACCGGCCACTCCCGATGGAGACTGGAACGAGTGCACTCCCCCCTGTTGCGGACACGAGCACCTTCTGACCCCCCGGAGACTCAGGTGCTTCCCCCCCCTGCCGAGGACGCCGTGCGTGGTATTCTCCGGTGACAATGCGCGCACTACCCCCCCCCCCCCCCTTATGAAGACGCACGTGGACATTTGAAGCTGAGGTGTGCCAAACTGGGCTGACGTGGACATAAACATTTGGTGGTTGGGGATATGAGTGGTGACAAGGGTGTTTCATTGATACTGTGTGTCATGTATGTGCTTGGTTTGGGAAGGTGTGATGTTGGTTGCTGGTAAAGTGTTGCGGTCTCACTGTAACGAGGTAATGCTGGCTCTACGATTTCTTTTTCCATTGTAAAACGTCCTTTCCATCGCCTTTCTCGCAGTAATTTGAGCATTTAATTTTAGCGTAACTTGTTGAATTACTCTCCGTATTAACGACTCTGCGGTTCCCCTTACATCACCGATTTTTTTTTCCGTTGGAAGTGTGCCAAATTTGACATTCAGCATGGCGACGCAGTCACTATCGGTCGGTCTGCCGTCTTTCGCCGGTAAGGGCAGTGTCTCTCGTTTCATCGCGGACTTTGACACGTTTGCAGTCCTACAAGGATGGGATGACGATAAAAAAGTAGCTCTGCTGCCTCTGTGCTTGTCCGGAATTGCGAGGGACGCCTATGATGCCTTCCCGACCGAGTGCAAGAAGAAGGTAGGCGACGCGTGCAAGAGATTGGAACTGGCTTTCCCC